AGGGGAAAGGCAAGGGGAAAGGCAAGGCAGGGCAGGGCAGGGCAGGGCAGGGCAAGGCAAGGCAAGGCAAGGCAGAAAAATAAACCATAATGGATGATCCAGATTTGAATACAGTCATGTACCATGTGAAGATAATGGTCTGCATAGATGGTAGTCCTCTAAGATTATAATGGAGCTGAATAATTTCTATGACCTAATGAAGTTGTAGCAACCATAAGGTCCTAGTACAACACCTTATCCGCACGTATTTTGGTGACTCTGGTATAAACTTACTCCTCAATAAAAGCCCCAAGCATTTGCTTTAGGAAAACACTCAGAAGAAGGCACTGTTATGGTAGAAGATGGTACCTCCTGCATGTGGTTGGCCCTGAAGACCTTCCAGTGGGACAACATGAGGAGGTGGAAGACAGTGATATTAATGTCGTGAATTCATGTAAGCTTAATCTACTGTGTATGTTTGTGTCTTCGTTTTCAGGAAAAAAAAATTTTAAAAGTAAAAAAAATAATAAATAATTTAAAAACAGAAGAAGTCTTATAGCAAAAGGATATAAAGAAAGAAAAGATTTTTGTATAGTTGTATGCTATTTGTGTTTTAAGTGTTATGACAAAGAAGTCAAAAGTTAAAAAAATAAAAAGTTTACAAAGCAAAAAAGTTATAGTAAGCTAAAGATACTTTATTATTGAAGAAAGAAAAAAGTTAATAAATGTAGTGTAGCCTAAGTGTGTAGTGCTTATAAAGCCTTTATTAGTGTAGAGTAATGTCCTAGACCTTCACCACTCACTCACTGACTCACCCAGAGCAACTTCCAGTCCTGCAGGCTCCATTCATGATAAGTGTCCTATGCAGGTGTAGCATGTATTTAAATCTCATATTTTTACTCGGCCCTTTCTATGTTTACATATGCTTAGGTACACATGTACTTACAAATGTGTTATAGTTGCTTGCAGTATTCAGTACAGCAACATGCTATACAGGTTTGTAACCTGGGGCAATAGTCTGTGCTACACATACAGTCTGTGTGTGTCATAGGCTGTACCATCTAGGTTTGTGTGAGCACACTCTATGATTTCCACACGATGACAAAACTGCCTAATGACACATTTTTCAGAATATATTCCCACCATTAAGCTACACATGACTGTATTTATAAAGAAGCAGGAGGCATTTTAGGTAGGCGGACTAGCCCAGGGATATACAAGAATAACAAGCACAGTGGACAGTGTGATACAGGAGATCTAATAACTAAATATTTTGAATTTCCTCTCTCCCTTTCTCCCTCCCTCCCATTCTTTCTTCTTTCTTTCCCCCCTGTCTTCTACCTGTCTTTTACCATACCTCTTCCCCTCTCTCTCTCTCCCCGTTTCATTGCTTCCTCTGATTTCACATTTTCCACTTTCTCTTTGCCTGCCTGCTCTCTCTCTGTCTCTAACACCCACTATCATCATCGTCACCCCATTGTTATAATTGGCGACATATATATATATATGTATATATGTATACACACACACACATCTATGTTCTTCTCCATGTATATATGCATGTAAGTAGGCCATTCAGGTGTACACAGACGATTAATAATAATGTCAAGTTCCAACCCCAAGTTTTTTCCACCAGACCCACCTTATCAATGTCACCAGTTCAGAATATCTGCCCCACGGCCAGCACCTTCTTTAATTACAATACCATTCCCATTTGACCCCATCAGCCTCTCTCTCATGTTGATTTGTTTCTGCTCCAATTTCGAGAGTCCTAGGAAAAGGCCACCCCTGTACACCACAGACAGCATAAACCACCACTCTCTGTTCACTCGAAGACACAGTAAATTCTTACCAAACATCTTTCATGTGTGTCTCTACATGGTCGTGTGGCAAGTGCTGTGGTATGAAGAAGTGCGTGTCTTGGTTTTTTCATTAGGAAGCTTGATGTCCCACTCGTAAGACTAGGATATGCATGTTTATACACATGTAAATGTGTATGTAATTAATAGTAAGCAACATTATAATAAGAAACAAGATTTAGTGAGCACTTGCATTGTATCAGGCACTGTTCTAAAAACATATATATTAACTTGTATAATTCTTACAAAACCTTTTAAGGCAATTAAAGTATTATTTTTACCATTGGACAGATAAGAAAGTTTAAATGACACATGACAGGACTAATGATGTCACACGGGGGCTTGAATTCTGTTGCTGCCTGCACATCACCAATCTTGGAGTTTTTCCAGCAGCAGAGAGGAGTAATAGAAAGACTCTGAGTGCAGTAGTTGGATACGTTTGGTGTGAATTTTGCCTCTTCCATGAATGATCTGTAGGACTTTGGACGTCTTATTTGATTGTTTCAATCTAGTTTCCTTATTAGCCAAAGGGGAACAATAAGACTCATGTTCTAGTCATTTTCCAATGATAAATGATACAACAATAATAAACAATATTGTAATATATATTATTATAAATAATAAATGATACAACAATAATCATAATAGTGGCTTTATGAGTGTGTAGTAGCCACAAGTTCCTGAAAATTTAACATGCATTATATACACACATACAGGCATTACTACTCTCCTTTAGTACATGTGCAAATTCATGTTTAAAAAGAGGTCTTGCTCTATGTCACCAGACCAACAAACAACAGAGCAAAGATTCAGATTAAGGTCTGTGTATCCTTAAACCTGATGCTTTTTCTTATATCATATATGGTACTGCACCTGTAGTACAATTCCTCCCTCATCAGTGAGGGCTGTTCCTGAAGGTGTTAATTCTCCAGCACTTTTGTTCTTCACTGTCAATAAACTCAGGATCTTCTTGCACCTGAAGAAAACTCTCAAGCAGAGCAGGGTGGCATGCATAGGAACTGTCCAGCGAGGCAACAGGGCATCTTAGGGGCAGGGTGAGGGCATGTGGGCAGCATACCACCATCCTCTGTTTCAACCCCTTGTCTTACAACTAGCGTATAAACAAAAAGGGTCATTGAACCATGGGGTGTGAGCAGTGCATTTCAAATGCTTTTTGCTTGTGCATGTTTTTTGAGTTCCTTGCAACATGTCAACTCACAACTCTTTGAGGGCACCTGGTGTAATGCACAGGTGTGTCGTTCCAGGTGGGCCACACTGTAGACCTCCTGCCAGTGCTTTGAGTGAGAAGTAAAGTCCCATGTCTTTTACTCCTTTCAGATCCTTTTGGGAAGACAGATGAGCGGGAACCACTCACGAATGCTGTTCGAAGTGATTCGGCAGTCATCGGAGGTAAACAGTTCATTGTTGTTGAATGCAGAAAGACATAAACGATCCTGTATTTTGGAGAAAGTTATCTGAAGCCTTCCTTAATTATGGCCATCCAGCGCTCACAGCCCCCTACATTATCTGCAACACTGTGAGCTTTTCATGAGTAGTCATGTGTGCTGAATGATCAAAGGCAGGCTCTGCCGACACCAGCAGCTCTGCGGCTTCATCCTGCCTCTGATTCACGAGGCAGCTGAGCACCGAGTCAACAGCTGGAGCATTTACTTAGAGACAGAAGCTCACATTCTGTTCATTTCATACAGTTGTCACTGTTCCTAAAATGAAAACAAAGCAGACCAACAAAGCTAAATACAGGGAAGAAGCAGACAATGGGCGAAGCCGCAGTCCTGTGGAGTGTTCCCCACCAAGTGATTTGGGTTAGGTCTGATGAGCAGGGGAAAACCCACAGGACTGTAGTTTCAAATCTCACTGCACATATGGTTACAGATGCAGACCTTGTCTGCTCTGCGGCGAGCTCAGCTTTCCTGCTTTTCCATTTTCTTACTGCCTGTTGGCCTCCCCACTTTTTTATTCTGCTTCAGCTTGGCTTCTGCCTGCTGTGGCTTGATTTTTCCATCTGGGTCTTGCAACACAGAATGATTTCCAAGCTTCGTTTAATGTAAGATGCGTGTGAAAGACCAAACTCGTTTCTATCTGAGAAACGTAACCTTAGCAGGTGCCACCATCCCTGCCTTCTGGAAGCCTAGATGAACTGATCCTTGGCAGATGGAGATCTCCTTTTAAAAACCTGCAGTATCGTTCCATTTAGCTTATATTTAATGAGCCCTGCTACGGGTCAGGCTCTGTGCTAAGTAGAGAATGAATGAGCCAGGGAGGAGATGGGTAAACACAAAACAAGACAACCAGTGAAGGCTGTTCTGAGGGAGGAGGTACAAATGGCTATGGGAGCACAGAAGTGCACTCCTGATAACATGAAGAAAGGAAAACCACGCCTTTCCTTAAGGAAGTTCCTAAAACCTCTGACCTGAATTTCTGCTTCAGAGAAGCTGGTCCACCTTAATTTTTGTTTGGCATCGAGAAATGTGGGAAAGAATTTTGTGTCTATTTCTCTTTCAGTAATTTCCCACTTGACAAGTGCAGAAAAAGACTTTTGTGACTGCTGACTCCTCTCCAGCTATTTACATGCTCTGTGACTCTCTTTAAGGACAGGAAAGTCATCTGACCCCCTAGGAAAATTCCTGGAGGCTTGCACAGCTGCTGACTTGGACTATCCCAAGCATTGAAGGAGTAGGAACCAGTTTCCTATTTCATTTCTTAAGGCTGCAACCCACTCAGGAGAGTCACTCACTACCACCCAGTTTATTCATAGACTTGCTAACTTAAGTGATTTTACCCTTACTTGTTCTAACACAGTTGTAGAAAATGCCACAAAATGGTTTAGGAACATATATTTATAAAAATAAATCTTAATCATGGCCCCAGTTCTACAAAAAATTGGCGGAAGACGTGCAATCCACATATGACACTTTCAAATGTCCATGCTTCTGTAAATCATAATGCACTGTGTCCAAAAATAACTTTCTAAAATAGACACTTTTCCTCAATATCTCCTCTCCTTAGAAAAATAAAACAGCAAAATATAGAACTTATTACAAGTCAAGTCTTTGCTTATCATACATATTGTTAAATATTTTCATGCTGAAATACTACATTCATGTAGAGACACATCTGCCACTTCCACATTTTCACTATCCCTTGGCTGATACTGCCTTTCATGTTCCAAGAGCCTTCCTGGCAAAGGTAGGGGTGAGACCTTAGGGTAAGCAAGGATACCTTGCAATATAATCCAGTTGAGTCACACACAGTCAGAATAAGGGGGAATCTGATGGGCCTGGGCTGAAGTTTGCCATCTCAATGGACTCTGAGTTTCTCGAGAACAGAGGCGTCTTGTCACTGAATGAGCCTCAGTTTCACAGAGTGCAGAGCATGCAAAAATGTTCTAAATTTATAGTGATCATTTCGTTATTAATGAAAATATTTGAGGAAAACAAACATATAACATAAAACAAATTTACATCAGGAGGGCATGTGTTGAGATGTGAGATATTTAAGTACCATTTTCTAGGATGCTAAAGTAACTCTGAAATACTTAGTTGTGAGGTGACCAAAAAAATGGGCTAATTACAAATGATTCTGACACATTTATAGCAGACTTGAAAAACTTACAAAGAAACCCTTTGCTAGTCCAATTCCATATGTAGAAGATGGCATTCTCAGTTCTTTAAACAAAACCTTCTATGGTCTCTCTCCATAGAAGAGAAAGCGTCTCTCTCCCCAGCTAGTTCGAAAGAAGGTTTTATAATAATTGAAGGCAGGGCCTTTCAGCAGGTCTTTATTTCTGGGCAGGTGGCAGAGTTGCGTTTGTGTGATTTGTTTTGTTTTGTTTTCTCTCTTTAGCATTCCCCTCATCTGGCAGGAATCCACTCTCCTGAGCAGATGATTTGTGATGATTTCCTTCTCTCTTTCCTTCCCCTTTCTCTCCAGGGGTGATAGCAGTGGTGATATTCATCATCTTCTGTATCATCGGCATCATGACCCGGTTCCTCTACCAGCACAAGCAGTCACATCGTACAAACCAGATGAAGGAGAAGGAATATCCAGAAAATTTGGACAGTTCCTTCAGAAATGATATTGACTTGCAAAACACAGTGAGCGAGTGTAAACGGGAATATTTCATCTGAGAAACTGCAGGGTTCCCACTACTATTTTTTCTTGTTCAATTATCTCCTCCCCTTCTTCTCTCCTGTCTTTTGATTTGGTCATTCTCTTTATTTTCTGCTTGCCATTTCTTTTCTGGAGCATATTTGCATCCACCACAGCATCAATTCCCTTGATCCAGTCCAAGAGACCAGGCAGCCGTGGCCACTGCCTTCCTCTCTGATGAACCTATCGGGTGAAAACGACCACTCAAGAGACTGACTTCACTATTCAAGACAAGGAAGAGACACATGTGTGCACTCCTGCATGTTCAGTTCTGTACTTCCAGTTTCTAAAATGCACTGTTCAGTTTGGCAGCCACTTGGTGGTTCGGGCTTGCTTTGAACCTGAGCTCTTTGGCTTAGGCACATGACGGTCATTCCTGACATCCTCCCCATCTCAAGTCTATTCTTACCAGGGAACCCAGGGCAGGGAGAGAAGAACCTAGAGGCCTGGTTTGCTTTGGAGGCATTATAAAAGGGGTAAGAGAGGTTTGTTTCGTGGTGGTTTACTTTCTTTACCATAGGCAATCACTTGCCTTAACTCATCACCCTTTTTCACTATGACCCTTAGACCCTGAGTATTTTCAAATATATGATCACTGATAGTAGTGAGCAAAATTACTTTGCTCCTTTCTTACCACTCTCTCCTGGGGCCAACACGTTGGAATAGCACACCATAGCATAAAGCTAGGGGAGGCATGGAAATAGTAGCTTGAAACTAGGAGGTAACAAGAAAGCGTCTAGGAAGTAGATGTTCTGTATCTTCAAAAATGCCTCCTCCAATTTTGTAAGAATGCTAGCTAGGTATTCCTGGGATTATTCTACTGACATATATGTACACACACATGTGTATATATGTATATATATGTGAGTACATATACACACATACATGTATATATATGTGAGTATATATATACACATATGTATACACACACACATATATATATAGATATATACACACAAACACACACATATATGTTGCTGCAGCATAAAGAAATTGAAATAAAAGTTTAAAATAGTACCTGGTTCAATGAAAGAGCCTAAACCATCTTAACTCAGCTTTAAAACAAAAATTAAATCAGGAAAAAATGAAAAAAAAAAAAACTGCATGAAAGAAGAGAAATACCAAACAGAAATCTGCCCTTCCATTCACTCACTAAAGACCCGGTGAAGACAGTTAATTCAAATTTGCAAGTTTCACATTTTTGAACATCAAGCTATTCTCCAAGAGGTTTAGGATGCATTAACATAAGTGACATGGTCACCTCTAGCTAACTAGCTTTGCTTGATTTCAGAGGAGCCCTTAGGTTCTGTAGCTTATCACATTTTCAAGTCTGCTATAACATATATACATAAAGACTCTTCCAAACATCTCTTTATAGGCTTAAACTCCCAAAAGAGGTGGTGATAAATTTCAGGGTTTTTGCCCCTTTTGGTAACAAAGCATTGAAAACAGTCATTCATTCCTTCAAGAAGGCACCTTGAGCTCATCCATGGGGTGGTGGTAAAGATCTTAATGATTTTTCTGTGGCAATATGCATCGTTCTTTGTCCTGCGCCATCTTGGAGAAAAAGGTAAGGAGAAAACAACATAAATGCTCCAAGATGCTGGAAATGCTCATGTAATGATTCTTAGGTGTGGAAAATACTTGTTGATTCTCTTTACGAGGCAGATTCAGTGTGGAAATCGATGACCACAGCTCTGTTTGCCAGCCTTGACAGTTAGCAGACATTCCATCTTTTGCTTAGGGTACACTGTCTCTCGCCTCTCATAGTGAGGAACTTAGTTGCTTCATTCCATTTCAAGCACAGCTTTTCTTTCAGTTTCAGAGCTTATGAGTTAAGGATTTAGTTTGCAATCATATTCCTCTATTTTAAGATGTTGTTTTAAATGCAGATTCTCTCCTTGAAATTTTCTATGGATTTGAGCTTAATCACTTTATCATCTACATGGTATCTTTTGGCTACATGATATCATTTATTTTAAAGTGATTTTAACCATGATACCATTTCTCTCCTTTTAGTTTTAATAAGATGAATGATTCTTTAGTAAGATGAAGGATCTTTAAACAGTGTTTTCCCCTGCCCTTTCCTCCCTTTCTTCAATTTTCACTTTTGAATTTTTGATTTCCATAAAAAGCCTGTATAAATCAGCCTTTTGCTTGGCTATATATTCCTTTGTCCCCTGAAATAAAAGTCACCACGAAGTGTAGTGGGTTTAGCCTGAAGCAGCTCCAATAATGAAATAGAAAGGCAAAAGAAGGTGTGAGTAATAAAGCTGGAACTCTTCATTATTCAATCTTCGAGCAGTGAGGACTGTATTTTGCTGACATAGTGCTAACAGAAGAAATGGAGACTAGCAAAGGCTAACTCGGAGTATTTGATTTTCTCATCTAAGTATATATGCTTTTAGATGGTCCTGTAGGATGAAGAATCTGTGAAGCTCTATCCTGACAACAACTGCACTACAGAATCAACTGGCATCTTCCTCACGTGTGTAGACTCCATACACACTGCATGCCACAGGACCTAAATGTAGATGCCAGGACAGTGCCCCCTGCACGCCACTCCTATAAGTAGTCTCAGGGCTAAAGCAGAATTATTTTTACAGGGTTGAATTGTTTCTTAACCCCAGAGAACACTAACTTTTGCTAGATATATATGAAATGCAAGTGAGCCGTACCCTCCAAAGTAGAATGTAATTTACAGTCAGAAATCGTGCTAACTCCGACTGTCTTTCCTCAGTGGTACCAAGATCTATGTAGTTTTATGTAATTGTTCAATTGTGTGAGTGTTTCAATCCTTCAGCAGTTATCATCTCGAAGGAGACTTTGAAAGCATCTTAATCTCTCTTTAACGACTTTTTTTTTTTTCTTTTTCGTGTCACATTCAGGTTTCCCAACTACATGCTCTGGTCAACTGGGCCACCATGGTCTCTTCCACTTAAACCCTCAGCCTTCAATAACTGCTGTTTACAAAAAGATTTTATGGAATATGGATCACTTTACAGTAAAACCAAAAGTACTTGTGAAATTTCATGTTTTAATGGGGCTGTTTCATTGATTTTTTTTCCACCAAACAAATCTATTTATGTAAGCAACAGTATATTTGCTAACTCTAAAATATATTTAACCTACTGCATCATTTATTGCATGTATAGCCTCGGTTGCCATCTTTATGAAAAATTTGTCTGGAGAAATAGACATTTGTCATTTCTATAGACATATTTTTACGAATAGCTTTGCCTCTTCTATTTACCCTCAGCTGTACACAGAAGATTTTAAGGATCCTAGGGGTGATATTTTAAAACAACTTTTTTCTTCTCCTTAGTAATAACAGAGATGGTATTAACTTGACTTCTACCTTCTGTCAGACCCATCCCCACCAATCGGTAGCAAGAACAGGATAGAACAAAATAAAGAGATTGTTTTTCTTTCTTCATTTATGAAGTATTTGTGGAATGCCAGTGAGTGCTGTGCTAGGCATTGGATGAACATGTATGAATTACACCTTGTTCTTGTCCTTGGGGAGCTCAAAGTCTAGCAGGCAAGGCATGTATTATTGCAACAGGGGCATGCGTAAAGTGTCCTAGAATGCAGCACAAGGTCCTGCACAATTATTTTTGGTAAAGCATCCACTAGAGACTGAAAGGAACAGGTAAATTTCTGGGAAATATTTGTTTTTTTTTAAATATTTTTTTTAAAATCCACCTTCCATAAGCTGTTTTGTTTCTCCTCCTCAAAGTAGATATCTATCAATGCATATAAGTTTCTGTAGAAAGAGGTGGATTGACTTTTAGGGACAGTAAAAATAGATGGTCTCTGTCTCTGCCATACATTTGGGGAGGCTGAATTCTCTACATTCTTGTTTCGGGTCAGGTTGGGGGATTCCGAAAGTCTCGCCTCCCATGAATTGGACCTAAGTGTCTCCACTTTGGCCCCTCTCCTTCCCTTTTCTCAGTTCTTCCACTGCCATGTGTTTATGACTTATTGCATGCCATTGTTCTTCCAGATGTTCCTGAAGGTGGTTTGGTTGTAGTCCAACTCTTCCTAAAACCCTTCTTAGTCCTGATGAGCCATTTTGAATCTACATAAAATTTCTGAACCTAACTGAAGTCTACCCTTCAGTCAATAATTGACTAAAAAATGTTGTCCATTTATGTGAGGTCTCACCTCTGAGCCTGAGTGAATGTTTCCCGTCTTGAAGGTCATACCTGCTCCCTCTCTGCAGGAAGTTAATTCAGTTAGAAGAGTTGCACGGGGAGGGTGCATGCACAGCCAACTTATCCAGTCCAAGATATCCAGGGAGATGGGTATCAGACCTGCTGCATTTTTTCTTAGGAAAGGAAAGGTCTTGACGGATTGTTCACCAACTGCCCTAGCTTCCTTTAAGCTTCCCCATAGCTTCCATCCATCAAAATCTCATTGCAGCAGCAACCTACCAAAAGGCCTTTGGGATACCTGTATGGTGCTGCCACTCATTCTTCCTTAACGAAAAGGCTTGGACATACTTAGCCCTCAATTGTCCTACAGGTCATGTATTGAGCAAATAAACAAACAGACTTCATTGTTCCTGAAGATGGCAAAGGTGATTAATGGAAGAAGATGCAGGCAAACTGAAAACTTTCAGAAGTCTAGGAGGATAACTGAGTGCTAGTTCATGTCTCTCATGCAGTTTGAACCTGTTTTCTTTAAAATACACATAATGTAATTAAATTATCTCTATATACTGTTCTTGGGCTATTCTCGACCTCTTCTTTTATCTCCTCCCTCATAGTCTTGTTTGTGGAATCATCTACTTTGCAGATTTTGGTTGTCTCTCATTCTCAGCTCTGCCTTCATAAATTCCAAATAGTTGAACCACCTAAAGGGGAAAAAGTGCAACACACACACGCACGCACGCACATGTGCACACTTTGTACGAATAGGGCTGTTATTCAACTTTTCTCTAGAACATTCTACATACATATCTGTTTGGTAGGGA